TAATATTTAGGGTCATTGTGTATGGAATACGACGGAATAATAATTTTTTGTCCCTTTTCAATGACTAATGACTGACCGGGTACTTTGTAATTTTTCGTCGCACTTCTGAATAGGATCATGGTGATGGAATACATGCGTGAGATTTCTGAAAAATATATAGTTGTTTATTAGTATTAACTTGGGGTCGGTCGAGGTATTCACTAGGTACTATTTCTTGGATAATATTTTGACTGAACATGTATGTAGCATAATGGACTACATGTTAATGTCTAGTAAATGTATAATAAATTCAATTAGTTTTTTATATTAAATTTTATATTTTTTAAATCTTCAAATAAATATTTAGTTTATAGGTACAAAGTTTTTGATACTAAAAAAATAATATTTCAATCACTATGTATATATTTTATCAGAAATATGTAGATGTATAATATGCAATATACATACTCAAACAGTATAGAAACGGTGTAGAAAAATATTTATTGATAAATGACAAAATAAATATTAATTACTCAAATAATAATGTTATTAATTTTGAGTTTAGAGGTTTGAATAAAAATCATCGAAAGACGAGTCAAAATATACTTATCTAAATTGTTGTCAATTTTTATAGAAATTTAAGTGATATTTTTATATTATAAGTGCTATAATGTTATTATTTATTTGTAGATTGTTGGTAATCGTGTACAGAAAATAATATGCTGCCTCATGTACCTWCTGATTTGTTGCTACTGATGATATGAAAACAATTTGAAACTATCGATATCATACCTATTAATACTGTAATATAGATTATTATTTATTACCCTCCAAAACCATATTCATGTAATGGAGATTTGTCAAAAAGTCKTTGTTTAKCTGTCCAYCGTTTTTCTCTTTTGTYGTGACGATCTCTTGCCGCAGTTTATCTTGGACGCCTTTGTTCAATGCYAACTGGTATAAACAATAGCATATCGTGATAGAAACCGTTTCGGCACCAGCTACAAACATAAGTATTGCGTTTCCGATTATATCCATTTCGGTCCATTTGTCTGTGAAACAAAATCCAATTTATAAACATAATCATAGTAATATGTTTATCAATGAAAGTATTTATTATTTCACAATAAAAATAATATGAATAGAGTTTTAAGATGTTGTTCGTGACAAGATTAATATGCTATGTATAATATTGTAAATATACTTTCAGAATTCGAGTCATCGCCGTCGTTATTCGTCACCAAATCTTTYCTAGCTTGTATCAGVGTTTGYGTGACGTCATTCCTGACGACGTTGTTCYGGTYCCTRTACTCCAGAACGTCTCTGAACATAGATYYATAAAAATCAGCRGCGTCCTYAGGAAWCTGTTGCAGCTTAAGAGTWAACACCAGCTTTGGACAGAGTAACAACATAGCCTGGACAAAGAGCTGTTTGAAGTCTGCCTGGAATATTTTCTTGCCAAACTTGCGGAAGTCTTCATTTCCGTTTTTGATCGTGTCCAATTTTAGACCAAAAGCCGACATACCAATKACATCCGTCGAGAAATTTCTTACCATGTCTCCTAKTTCAAAGTGATCGCTGATCTTTAAGTTGTCGTCGATGACATTTATYAGCTGGTCGATGCACTCCTTGATTTGGTCATGTGTGTCTTTCAATTTTCCCGATGTGAAMCCGGGACTGAGCTTCTGTCGCATYGTTCTCCAYCGATCGCCATTCAACATGAACAGACTGTTGGCCAAGATGYTGAYKGACGGGTCAGTATCAAAACCGTGGTCGGTAAAGTACGAGAAGTYTTTWACCATTATTGTGTTGATCAGTTCCGGATCGCGGATCATCAGGAACGGTGTGTTCATCTGATAAAATCCACAAATCTGTTCGTCTGGAAATCGGTTGTAAACGCCYGAGAAAAAGTCTAACGGGTGCTCCTTGGACAAGACCATTTTCATCGAGTTCCCAAACAGCGGTAAGGGCTTGGTGTGAGGYACGTTGAGTTTGCGCCATTTATCGTGTGTGGACGTCGAAAAGTAGTAGGCGATCGACACAAAGACCGCCGCATACAATACGTACACGGAGCTGAACAGTCCGACGATCAAGCTTGAGATCACTACAATCATGATGTCGTCTCGAAATCACGTGAATCTAGAAGTACCGGTTAATTAATTGAAGTTATTGTTTTAAAAAATTTAGAAGTTTCTAATACATCCTCGTGTAAACGTATATCCTCTAGTGCGCAGTTTCTACTAAATTTATCCATGTTATATATACCAATGTATATGAAGTAGGTATTAAAGTAGTTTGTTATTGATTATAATAATGTGTTACGATGAGTGCAATAATGTGTTGACAATAGAAATGAGTGTAATATATAACAAATATTTGTATTTGATTATATTAATTAATTGTATGAGCTGTACATTTAATGTTTCACTATTTTTCGGATTTCGTCTAATATATACATTATGTACATGATGATCATAATGTACAACTGATTTACAATTAATTGGGGTTCTGTGTATAATTAATTGATTTTTCATAAAAATATTTAATATTGGTATTTTTTATTTATAACACAGTTCTTAATGGCTATGATATTTATTACGTTTGAAACATGAARCTTTAAAAGAGGCGTTTCTCTTATATTTAGTTTCTCTGTCTTACACACGTACGGCATGGCGAATTTCAATGTTTTAATTTTCAACTGGCTATGTTGAATATTACTAATTAAAAATGCTGATATCTCACTTGAATATTAAAATATCGAATTGAAGTCGAAACTTAAGCACAGATATTAATGTTAGCTAAAAGTTTGATAGAAGGTCAATTCTCTCTAATATAAAAACTAACTACACACGTTTGAACAGTGGTGTGGCGAACTAAAAATATTACAGAGTAAACCCCCAATGTACATGACCCATAACCATGTATTCGCATATAAATTCGCACAATCCTTGATACCCACCCTTCAAAATTTGAAATATTTTAGAGTCAATTTCGTCTGAAATTTCCTTTCGCCTCACCATTGCTTTTGAAACTAGTTAAAAAATATTTTACAAGTCTTAGATACGTTTTTAGACGGAAGCAATTAACTCAATGGTAGAGTCCGATACCAATTAATAAAAATTACTGTTATGAAGTAGCTGTTATTCACACAAATCCGTAAAACTATAACATGAAATGAGCATATTATTATGATAATAATAAAATATCTGACTGCTGACTGCTGTTAATTATGTAATTTTATACTATTAAAATATCACAACTATAAAGAAAACGATTTTGGTAAAAACGTAAAAAATCTCTGATAAAACAGCACATATTATATATTTATTTCTTTAATCTGCTTTACTGTTTGCGAATGTGTTTTGTTGAAAAATAATTAGGGTTATGACTCATAAGCAATACTCATAACTTTTTAATATGTATATAACTAGAATTGTATATATATATATAAAAAATAAAGATCATATATTTATTAGATTTTTGGTTCCAATATTAACTACATTTTTAAGTTTTTTTTGACTAAACGTTTTTGTTTAAGTAATTGTAAATTTCAAATGTTTATAAATAATTCAAAAAGATTTAAGACCTGCTATTAATTTGTCCTGATAAATCATTATACATTCTCAGAAAAAAATTTGAACCGCAAGTTTAGGAAATTATTGTACAAACATTTGGTAATAWTTTGAAAAAAATTAATTGAATTTAAGTTCATTTTTATTGCTCCAAAAGGTGATGTCAGACATATATTATAAAAAATGAAGTAAAAGAATAAATTAATAACCCAAATCAATTGAATATCAACGAATTTATAGCTCAGAATCTAAAAAAAATATATATATATATATATTTGAAAGCCGGTCACAATATTTTATGTATCGAATAAATATGCCAATAAAACATACCTAGTATATGATATTAATTGTTTGTATTAAATAAGACAAAGATACTAGGTTAGGTTATATTATATTATATTATTAGATTTTATCGGAAATCGTAGACACCTGCGTAATTTAATTTTTCTGATTATAAGTGGCATACTTATACTTTTGAACGAAGCAGATAAAACTAGTAATAGTTATGAAATTATATTGTTATCGACAGCAATGATTCGGCTTGCAGCTAGCTCATGCAAGTTCGGCATTATTATAAATGTGTGATGGGAGAATTAGGATTAACTCTGAGAGCATAATTATGTTCGAATTACKCGTTATTTACTYATAAGTTATAATATAAAAATAACATAATTTTAAAWTTTTTTTTATTCTTACAAGATATTTTTAATCCGTTAAAAAAAACAAGAAGCAAATTTGATAGGTGTAGATCCATTTTGCATCTAGATACCCAAACGAACTTTTTGATAAGATTTATATGCTGTCGTATTTTATTATTTTTGCTTTAAGTTTATTATAATTCACGACGGTCTGTTGTAAATAATACCGAACACCGTTTTTCGGCTTCACAAATAGTTCACTATAGATATATTGATTTTAGGTAATATAWAGAATTTTGTAACAAGTAARACATGAATCGCAGAGACGCAATTATGGTTAATAATATAACTCTTATCACTTATTGGTCATTATTATTTTACGAAAATCCTGATTTCGGTAAAACACGACTGCGTACGGTCTTATACGCAATCGTGAACATTTAAGTTGGTTAGACTTTTGGGGTAAATATTAAAGTTAATGGTTTAACGTACGCAATCGTGTTCTCAAAAAGAAACATCGTACGCAATCGTGTGTTACCCCCTGATTTGTATTTTATAAGTTTTTTTTTAAATTACTTCAAATATCTTGATAAAAAATACAGAAACACACAAAATAAGTGGTCACTCAACTTTTTGAATAGTGAAAAAAAAGTAAACGGTTCATTTTTTTTTTTTTTTTTT